TGAGCTTGAAAAAAAGGAAAGCATACTATTTTGATCAATTGGTATAATCTACATTTGTTGATTATAAATCTTTTCGTGTCTATAAAATAAAGGTTAGGTCAAATTTTTTTCGTGGTCCCTATGGTGACACTACAATTTCAATGTGACCCTTGTTGTGACAAAAATATTAATTAAACCTCTGTGGTAAACTTTGTTAGCAATTGATGTCCAAATCCGAACTTCCGTTTGTCTTTTATTAAATAAACTAATGTCACTATCACGTGGATGAGTCAAATTCATCATTTCAATCCAAATTACTTTCTATTCTATGGACATCTAGTATGACATAGGTATACGCTTGTTCTTTCTGAGCGAGTTATGACATACACTTGTTTTTCTTGTGAGTTAAAAAGTTGGCATCTGATTCTAGTGTACAAAGCAAATCGAAACAAGTGAAAAGGGGAGATAATTTACATTAACCATCCAAGAAAGAAAAAAAAACAACTTCATCATTTCTCATACCATAATATATTTTTCACACTAATGACAAAATCATATATGTCCAACCCAAGAAAAAAAAAAAAAAAAAAAGAAAGGAAGAAGACAAAAGTATGTCTTCCACAATATATTGTGGTTTATCATAACAATAGTAATTGAAAACATATTCTTCAAAATACAAAAATAATCTAGTTTTCCACAACATAAAATCAATTCCCTCCAGTTCATCATTTCTTTTGCAAGGTTCAATGCTTTTTCATCTATTGATTTTGCATGTAACGCATTAGGGCCATTATAGAAGGTCTCGAAGGATGTTTAGCATTGGATGATATTGCAAAGGTCATTCCAAGAGTTCTCCAAGGCGCATTGGCAGAGTTGGCATTGGGTGTAAACATTGAAGGCAATACAATCGATGAATACTGTTTCCACAGTTGTTTACCTCTTACACTATTATATTGTGCAATAAATTATTAGAATAACAAAAGGGGTGTGCTACCCACACATCGCTATTTACTGCAATAAATTATTAGAATAACAAAAGGGGTATGCTACCCACACATCCCTATTTACTTCTCACACACCCCTTGTTAATTTATGTTCTTTGATCTTCGTCAATTCATTCGATCCAACAGCCGAAAATTAAGATAGTGTGTGGGAAGTAAAAAATGGTGTGTGGATATCACACCCCTAACAAAATAGCATCCAAGTGTCTGCATAACATGCAGAATTACAAAATAAACGACTCACAAGTTTTTTAGCCCTTAAATGCACTTGAGCTAAATTTCCAGCTGACTAATATGGCAGGTTACCTATTGGACCTTTAGTGGTTGTAATTGTCATCCTGAATTGGCTTGTTGCTCGTGTACTTTCCACATGTGTATGCCTTGTAGTCTAGATATTTTTACAAGAAAAGTTACAATTAATGTCATCCAAGTGGAGTTGCAAAATTTGTATAGAAGTGAAAAATTAAGAAGCTCACCAGTTGTTTGGCCATTATAGGTGCTTGAGCTGCAATAGAAGTTTCATGTCCATAAGCATAATAATTGCCAATTGCATTACCACTATGAACAACAGCTTCAATGAGATTTGCACTAGCTTTCTTACCTTTTTCTTTTGTCTTTAGTATGAAGTCTTGGATACATATACCTCTTGTCCACATAAACACCAGGTGGTACATCAGTAGACTCATTCTTACAGAAATTCCAATGATGGCCTCATTGCCAACACTTGCTGCACCTTGTCGTATTTCCTTTTCGACTTGCTAACCGTTTGTTGTTTGGATCAACAACCCCTTTTTTCTTCATTTTTGGGTCTTTTCTCCTAACCCTTTTAGGCCTCCCTGGTTGGTTTTTCACTAATGACGGTAGTAATGGTGTGTTGGTAGACTTAGGCCACATGTTATTTCCTTTATCTGGACAAATCATGTAATCATAGGATCTCTGTAGACATGTAAATTTCATTGCATACAAATGATGATCGCAAAGCTCCACGTGGCATATGACTCATCACAAATGGATAAGTCATCAATGACATGTGGCACAAGTCAAGCAAAGGAAGTATAAAACTTCCCCAAAATTCGGCAATAAGGGAGAATCCCCCTTAAATTCGGCTAGAAAATCCAAATTGATCCTAAAACTGGAAAGAAAGCTAAAACATCTTCATAAAACAAGTAAGAATTGAAGATTGCTCACAAAATAGGCAACAAGATCCTTAAATTCAGCCAAGGGAATAAAATGGTTGAAATTAAGACGCAAAACATGCCTAAAATCATCCCAAAGGCAAGCCTTGAGAAGCCTATAAATACAAGGTCCTCCCATAAGAATAAAGGTCGAAAAAATCTCTACACAGAAGAACCTTTGCAAAATCTTTGAAGATTAATACGCTGCCAAAGCTCTCTTCAGAGAACATTCAACCAAAGTAGAAGCTTTCTCTCGACCAAAGCTAAAGCACTTTCTTGAAGAATCAACAAGCGCTCGTGCCGATTCTTTCAAGACTTTGTTGCAAGCTTATAAACTTATAGCAACGTTCGTTTCAAGATCAAGTCGCCAAGACCCTTGAAACAACAAAATCCCGCATCAAACACTATCTTTGCCGCACCCTTTGAGGTGAAGATCATCCACGCGTTGTTTTCAAGCTCAAAACTTGGAGCAATCGTTCAACCGTTCATTCGAGATCAAGTCATTATGACCCTTGGATCAACAATCATGCATCTACATCAAATTTGAAGGCTGAATAAGAGGAAAAGTTGTAAACAGAGATTGTAACCTACAAATTCAAATCAATACAAATCTACTTGGTACATGTGTTCTCGTTTCATTCGATACAGAATTTTCGTGTTTACAATCTCAAGTAAATTTCTTTAGAATACACCTCATCCACATATTCTTCTGGGTTAGCTCTATGGTGAAACAATGCTGCATAATCATGGATGCATGGTATCCCAGTCAGATCCAAACTCCTACAACTACAAGTCCTATTATCAACATTAACAATATATTGATCATTCAAATAAGTCCCAACTTAGAATACAAGATTCCCTGTGTGTGTAGCCAAATAATTCATACCATAAAATCTTGCCTTGTTGAGGTTGGTTTGAATTTTAGGACAAATTCTTCTTGGCCATCTACTCATTTCTGTCTTTTTTAGCCTGCAACCTTCTCATCAAATTGCACTTTATCATCTTCATCATGGTTAAAATTGGTTTATTCCTAGCAGTAAGTATCTAGCTATTAAATGTTTCACATAGGTAATTAAGAAGCATATCGCACTTCACTGTAGTGCTAAACCTAGACCTAGGCCACGTATTAGGATCTCTTGTTGCCAACCACTTATATGCTTTGCTTTGTCATTGACACTCTTCAACTTCTCCATCTCAGTTTCAAATTCAACATAATTAGGTGCCCTTGCAACACTCCATACCAAATCTTTTAGTGTCTTACCTTTGTGAATTGCTTTGAAGTTTCCATATAGGTGCCGTATACACGATTTATAATTTGCCCTTGGGATCACTTGTTTAAAAGCTATGTCTAAACTCTACAAGTACAACAAGAATTTTATTAAACTAGATACAATACATAAAGTAAATATGACATCGTTTTTTTTAGATAATATTGTTACCTTTTGTTGATTTGAAATAAATGTCTATTTGTCTTCTTCAATTGGTCCAAGATCATCAATAAGTAACTGTAAAAATCATGACCATGTTCTTTTTTTTTCAGTTTCCACAACAACATATACTATTTGAAACATATTAACATTAGCATCAACACCAATTGCTCCAAGTAGTTGATTTGTGATAATTACTAGAGAAACTAAGTATGAAGTGTCTGACCAACTTAAATAATATAAAACGATAGAGCATAATAATTTACCTTCATAAGGTCCCTTGAGATATTAGCCGTCTACCTTGATCACTAGCCTGCACCCAGCTTTGAATCCCTTCTTGTAGGCGTAGAGACAAACATATAACCTCTTAAAGAATTGAGGATCTACATTCACTTTCATAGTACTTCCCACATTTGTTTGCCTTCTTCACAATATTCCCAAATCTTAGCATATTGCTCATCATATGACCCTCTTAACACTTATAGGGCTTTTTTCCTTGTTCTAAAGCACTGACTAATTCCAACATCCAGCTCCATGTCTCTGTGTTACATCCTGTAAAGTTTTTCACTAGTAGGAAAAACTGTATGCGCGACAAAGTAAAATCCGTCGCACAAAGATGTTTTGTGCAACAACAAGAGATCCTTCATCGTGCAAGGATGGTGAACTTTGCGAGGCGGAGACATTTGTCACGCAAGAGTATTTGCACAACGAGAAAAAGGTGTTCGTCGCGCAAACCAGTAAAAAAACCACAGGTGATTTTTTTTTTGGCGCAAAATAAATGTGCGATGAAGATTTTCCTTGGAAAATTTTGCGCGACAAAGTCTTCGTCGCACAAGAGATCCTTCAGTTTTTGGGGTAGAGCATTCGGCTCATGGGAATTAGAGGAACACTTGTGCAATGAAGCCTTCATTGCGTAAGTTGTTGTCAATTTTGATTTAGACAATTCAGTGCATGTGAATCAGAGGAATCTGGACTATATTTAGTGCGTGTCTTTGCTCGACAAAGCCTTTATCGTGCAAAGGCCCTTACCTTCCTATAAATATGCGCTTCTGCTCTCCTTATTCTTCACAATTTTGTTCTCCTTATTCTTCACAATTATGTTCGTGCTAGGATGGAGGATAAAAACAAGGATCAGAGTGTGCCCGCTGCCAACCCGAATGATTTGAGGCAGGATTGTGTTCATGCATGCGATTGCTGTAATCATAGGGAATAATTATCCTATTGCTAAGTGGCGGTGTAACATCCCGTCCCGAAACTAAAGAAACGTACATTTAAATTTACGATTTTACCCCTAGATCGTTTTTGTCACGTTATTAGTTGTTGGTGTGGTGTGGAATGTATTGGATTACACCCACACACACACACACTTTAACTTTCCGGGATTCCCTCCCTCATTCCCTCACTCTGTCTCTTCTCTCTTCTCTCAGTCTCTCTCTCTCTCTCTTCCTCCCCGAGTTCACCTTCTTCTTCTTCCTCTACACACGGACACACATACAAACCTAATCAAATCTTCACCAAACAAGAAACCAAGACCACCATCGTGTTCGTGGAGCTGAGAGGAGTTCAAAGGTGCCATTTTCAGGTAAGGATATCGTTGTTTTCACGTCGTTTCAACGAGGTCCGATTATTGCACTGTTCATGCAAACCTAATCTAGCTTGTTTTAGGAGATTCTAAGCTTGTAGATGTGTTTGTGAGGTCCCAAGGAGCCTCGGAGTGGTTCGTTGGGTGAATTTGGACGTCGGGATCGTCCTGTACGAAGTTGGCCGATTCTTGAAGTTGAAGACAGGTATGATCTAGCAATGTTTAGGCCTTAAAACTAGTCTAACGTTGTTCTACTAGTCCTAGGCTTCATTTTGGTATAAAGAACGTGAAATTTGGTTGAAAAACGAAGGAGAAAACAAGGTTTGAAAATTACCCAGTTTTCCGGCGCCGTCGCCGGCGCCGGAGGTTCGCCGGAGAAGAAAGAGGAATATTCCGTTAAGTCTAACGGAATATTCCTAACGGCAGTGGACGGAATCTGGTTAGATTTGACGGAATATTCCGTCAGTTAACGGAATATTCCTGACGGCGTCTGTTGACACCGTCAGTGTGCAGTGCACGTGGGCCGCGCGTGGGGGCGCGTAGGTCCGTGCGGGGTCAGGCGCGTGGGGGCGCGTGCGTGGTCCAAAATTTTTTCTAAAAATTTGGGCGTGATCCTGAGGTTGTGTAGGTCACGTTGGTATATTCATTTGTCCAATTTGAGCAATGTATGAGAAGTTATTACGAGAAGTTGCTTAGGTGCTTTTAAATTAATGTTTTCGTAACTTTGTCGCGTATAGGTGATTCGTTCTCCGAGGACGAGCGTACACACTCGAGGCAGGGGGGCTACGACCCTTCTAATTATCAGTGAGTGGGCTTTTGTTTTCCGTATATACCTATATACATATTAATTCCCAGAAATTAAATAGAAAAGGTTATTGTTTTATGCCATGCATTATATGAATGTTGTTTACGCATCATTGCATGTATTATTGGTGACATACATACATATATACCTGTGTATTTGGTGCTGTGGATGCACAGGTAAGTGCCAGGTAAGCGGTATTCAGGTGGTTATACATTCCTGTTTATTATGCAATAGTAGTTGAAATGCTTAGAGATCTCATAATCTGCACCCCCGGTGTTAGTGCTCCCGTCCAGGGCCAGGGCACAGCCTTCACGTGTATGTTCACCAGCACCGCATGCTCGTCTTGGATCCAAGTTAGGTGCAAGCCTGTCGTAGAGATCACATTAGGTGGTTCCGACTTGTAGGTGACCCGCGATTTATCGCACAGCTTCACGTGATCGTAGCACTAGAGCATACATATATATTACACCCAGCTTGTCGTGCAGACCACGTTAGGTGGTTCCGACTCGTGTGCAGATTCAGTGATTGAGTTGAGCGTGGAGCTCTAGGTGCAGCGGTACATGTCACGTTAGGTGACTCCCGGCTGCCAGATTATATGTTGTTGATGTGATTTACGCTTGAGCATTTATATTTGATTATGAGATTCTGTCATGGCATATTCTCGAGCATAAATGGCATATCATGGAGCATGATTGACATACCTATAAATACGTATATATGTTCATTTTCTGGGAAGTATACAGGTTTTACGGCGAGGGGTTAGAATGTGTTTTGCTAAAGAGTTTTCAAAGAACTTTGTTTTTGCCCACTCACGCTTTTGTTTTTGCGCCCCTCCAGGTTCTAGTGGTCTAGCAAGTTCGGTGGTTTATCCCAGAGGGCGTCCCGGCATTTCTGACAGACACTCACCATTGTAGGGTCACCTTCGGGTGTATATATGTCGTATCTTTTCCTTTTGGACTGTGTAGATTGCTCTGAAAGTGTGTCTCACATACACTAGTATTTGTATTAGTACTTTGTATGCTATTAGGTTTTTAACTATTAGTACTTTTATATTACTATCTTAATAGCTTCCGCACGCGCACATGGCTACGTCACCTTCGTGTGACGGCCAGCACGCCCTGATCTCGGTCGGGGTGTGTCAGGGCGGTCTTGGAAAGATATGCCCGAGAATGCGAAAAAGGTGGTGATGGATGAATTATGAGTAAGTATAATGTTGATGGATCAATAATTAATTTTGTGAAATTTTTTGTTATATGTTAGAATTAATTATTTGCATATATGTGTAACAGTGTAAGTATACTCTTGATGATGATACGAACGAATAGTTGATGAAGTTGATGGAGGATATGTTGGAGGGAGGTTACAATCGGTGGCGTTATGAAGTCCAGTGGAATGGAGGACCATCGAAATAGTAGTTTTAAATTTATGTTTTGTATGACAATATTTAAATTTAAGGGTTTTTTTATTTTTTATTTATTATTTATTATTTATTATTTTTTATAAGTTATGTATTTGGACTTAATAATTAGGTTTTAATTCCTGTTTGTTTGGTTATTTAAATAATTGAATGGAATATAATATCAATTTATTTAAGGTATATTATTTAATGTACTAATTGAATGGAGTATAATATCAATTTATTTAAGGTATTAATTATTTAATGTATTAATTGAATGGAGTATAATATCAATTTATTTAAGCTAGTAATTATTTTTAGAATACAGATTATAACTGAAAATTTGTTTGTAATTTGTTTATATTATGGAATATGGTATCAATTTATTTAAGGTATTAATTGAATGGAATATAATATCAATTTATTTAAGGTACTAATTATTTTTAGAATACATATTATAACTGAAAATTTGTTTGTAATTTGTTTATGTTATGGAATATAATATTAACTTATTTAATGTATTAATTGAAAGAAATATAATATCAATTTATTTAAGGTAGTAATTATTTTTAGAATACATATTATAACTGAAAATTTGTTTGTAATTATGAAGTTTACGTAAAAATAGATATCTATGTTTACGTAAAGTTCATAATTACAGTTGGTCAAGTTCGTTGCTACAACGTTTGAGTGATAAAGGTATTGCTGTGTGAACCCTTGCGTGACAAAGGCTTCGTCGCGCAAGTGGCGTTCAGTTTTACGTCAGCTTATTTGGTGCATGATAGGAGCATATTCATGCGACTTAATTAGCTTGTTCTTGTGCATTTATGTTGTGTTTACTTAGCTATTTTAGTGTTTAAGGCTATTTTTGTGTATTTTCAGATTATAAGGCCAAAGTGTGCAAGAAGATGCAAATTGGAGTCTTTTGGAGCGAAAGAGGAATGAATGAGTTGAAGATTTGAAGAAACGATGAATTCTTACCAAAACGAGGAATCCTACTCAAACAAGGTTTCCTACTTGAAGTAGGAAAGTTAACCCTAAGTTTCCCGTTTTGGTAACCTTTCCTAATCTAAATGTTCGTATTTTCTAGCCACTTTGTAGGCCTTGTATGCACTTTAGTACACAAGACCAAGGCCCTAGCCCAATTTCCAACCCATGCCGTGCTTTTAGCCCAATTCCCTTCCCTTGCCGTGCAAGGGGGGGTAGTTTTGTCTCATTTTATGCACTTAAACCCTAAACCCTAATCACCCTAATTACATATCAGCCGTTCACCCCAATAACCCTAGTTCTACAACCTTGCAGCCGCACCCTAATTCATATTGATTCACCTCTCATTTCATATTCATTCAGCCACCTTCACACCCTAATTCCTCCTAAGCCGCACACTTCCATACTCCCCCTTTAATCCGTAGCCATCCATTCATTCTATTCAGCCACCAATATATCCTAGCCGCACCTTTTCCTAACCCGAGAGCCTATACTAATCATTCATATCATTCAGCCACAAAAACCTATTCTCTCCCACTTAAGCCGGAGCCTCCATTCCATTCTATTCATTCCATCCGTATCCCCCATCATTCACCCTAATTGTCCCTAAGCCGCAGCCACCCATTCATCTTCTCCATATTGCCGTGCCTTTCCCCCATTAAAATCAGCCACTTCCCACCATTGCCGCAACCATCTCCACCATTCCAACCATCTTCCACACCTCCACACACCTTCCACAACCCTTGCCGCACCACCAAACCACCCTAAACCCATCTATAACCCAGAAACTCATCCCAAATCATCCAAAACCATCTCTGCCGCAGCAAGGAGAAGAAGAAAGAGGAGCTTGGACGCGCAGAAATTCAAGTGGATTTGTTGTGCATTCTAGGTGTAACCAATCCTTCGTTCTTTATGTTTAAATTCAATTGTATTTCTCTTTTTGTGAACATGAGAGGCTAAACCCCTATTTAGCTAGGGGGTGATTCGAAACCATGTTTATGCTTGCAATACGATTTGATTACTTTTGGTTGGAATTTCATGTATTGTGGATTCAATTTGTTTAACTGCTTGATCGAGAACTTATTTGTGTATGTTTGTTGAGAGTGCACGCTTAATTTTCATGCATGAATATGACGCTAGAATATAAGTGAATTTCACCTAATAGTTATGAACTTATATTTACAAGTAGTGGAGGTTGCTTATAAACAATCACGTTAAATGAATTCTTGGCAAGAGTATCATGCTTTTCATAGTTACAAATGCCTTGTCGACGCTTATGATTTCCAAAGAACGTAATGATTCTAACTTGTATCTTTATCATGCTGTTCATATAGAGAACTTGTTAGGAATAATTTGGTTGCGATGCATATTCATCCAATTCAATGATTCTAGGGAAATCTGAAGGTTAATTTAAGCGGACCTAATTAACTTGGAGTGTCGAGTTTCATAATTCATCGAAAGACCAATTGAAAATCAAATTGTATGCAAGTGTGACATGTGTGGAGAAGAACTTTCTAGCTAGCATTCCATCCATATTTTCATCCAATTCATATTTACATTCTGCCTTTAAATTACAATTTGTGCAATTAGTTTAATTTCGTCAAAACCTCAATCCCCCTTTACTTTAGTGTCCAATTTAGTTAGATAGTGTCTTAGTTTGTGTTTTTAAGTGTTTTGATTCAAGTTATTACCCAAATTCGTCCAAATTCACCAAAGTGCTCAAAACTGCCCAGAAAGTGTTTTTAAGGCAGTTTTGAGTGTTTTGAGTCTTTTGATTTGTTTTAGTGTTTTTATTGTTTAGTTTTGCATTCTTTGAGTCTAGTTTAGTGTTTTAACCTTTGTTTTACGTTTTTGAGTCAGTTTCCAAGTGATTTTGCAATCCCTCATAATCCCCGGTTAAGAACGATCCCTACTTATACTTATACTACAATTGTCACAAGAGGGTTTTAATTTGTGTGCTTATTTAGTTCGCATCAGTGCATCTATATCAAAGAAATAAATATCGTATTTATTGCAGTTGTCTGCGCAACAAAGACCCTTACCTTCCTATAAATATGCGCTTATGCTCTCCTTATTCTTCACACTTCGTTTCGGAAACGCTTTACAATTCTGACGATTATAATCAGTTTGTTCTTTGAGTATTGGTACAATGGCCGATAGTGGTGCGCGTTCGTCAAAGACAACGGATGGCAAAGGTTCTGAAAAAAGGTTTGCGTAGAAATTTTTGCATTTTGTATAAAGTTTTTATTTAGCTTCAGTATTATGAAAATATATTTTGTTGATAGACAAGAAGAAAAGAGTTGCAGTACGGGTCTGACACACTTATGGTAGGAGCCGTTATTGAATCACTACTGACGAAATAATAAGGGTTGGGAAGTCAGATAAGCGCGCTAGCTTTTGGTCTGACGTGGAAGCATTGGTGCGTACCAAATGTGCTGCGGATTGGGAGTCTTGGACAGCCATCCCCGAGGAGCTAAAGATGCACATGATTGATGAGTTAGCTGTATGTGTTAATTTTATTAGTTAAATAATAATTATGTTTGTCAAATATAATATAATAGTGAGATTTTAATTTATTAATTTTTGCATGACAACCCAATTGGGACATTGACAAAAGTGACCCAAATCTGATGAAGGCTATTGACAACGTGTTCAAGTCGAGATTTCGAGAGTGGAAAGTTGATAATGAATGCGTTGCAACACTACAGTAAGAACCAGAACTATCGGCGAATGAGTAGAATAAGGTTTCTTATTTTAATTTTATTGCTTATTTAATAATTAGCTATGAATTTTAAGTTTTTTTAGTGTGAAAATTTTTGATTAACTATGTACTTAATGTTGATTATAAATAAAATTAATGCATTTTAATAAATATGTATATTAATTAAATATGCACAAATGGTATAATGAAATAAGTTCTTATTTATTAAATATGTATGTGGTTTGAAAAAGTTCGAAGAGTGAATGGAAAAAAAAAAAATGAATGGCACCC